GGGGTTTGGTGCTGCGAGAGCTGCGAAAGAGGGACGCGCTGCTGCGGCAGCCGTTGCTGCAGCTGCAGGAGCAGCAGCAGCTGCAGCAGCAGCAGTTGCTGCAGCAGCAGCTGCTGCAGCAGGAGATTGCTGCGGCTCAAAGTTCATCCGGGTCTCCTTTAGGAGATTATTTGCTGCTGCAGAACGATTGTGCTCAGCAGCAGCAGCAGCAGCAGCATCGCAGCAGCAGAAGCTGCAGCAGCATTCATTCAATGCAGATGCCGCTTGCTGCAGCTGCTGCTGCTGCAGCAGCAGCAGCTGCTGCTGCTGCAGGAGCTCCCCCGCCTCCCATTGACAGCAGCAGCAGCCTAGACCGGCTGGGGAGGGAAGCAAGATTGCGGCTGCTGCTGCTAACTTGCTGCTGCCCCCCGCTGCTGCTGCTGCTTGGAGTGTATCTGCTGCTGGTGGGTGTGTCTGGTCAACACCCCTATCCTGCTGCAGTTGTGAAGCACCAGCAGCAACTTACTTTTGATTTGCTGCTGCTGTTCTTAGCGGAGCTGCTGCCGTCTTTAGTTGTCTACAAGGCCTTCACCCCTAACAGCAGCAGCAGGAGCAGAAGCAGCAGCAGCAGCAACAGCAGCAGCAGCAAAAGCACACCCCACGTCTGCCGCACCTACTCCTATGAATACCCACAAACTCTATGGGCTGCTGCAGCCGGCAGCAGCAGCACAGGCGCTAGGGTGTACCCGCAGCAGCAGCAGCAGCAGCAGCAGCAAAGGTCCTTAAGTTCATTCCCGCCACAGTGGGGGGCCCTGCAGATACTGCAGCAGCAGCTGCAGCAGCAGCAGCAAGAAACGGATTCGTCTTGCCCCAGCAGCAGCTGCGATAACCCGTGCAGCAGCAGCGGCAGCAACGACCAGGCCTGCAGCAGCAGCTGCAGCAGCAGCATCTGCAGCAGCAGCCGCTGCAGCAGCAGCCCCAGCAGTGCAGGTGTCTCACGTTCCTTCGGGCCTTTCGAAGCAACAGCAAGAGATTCATTTGCTTAACTGTGTCTCTTCAGCTGTTCGTTAGCTAGCTAGCTAAGTGTATGGCGGCTAGCTGGCTAGCTAGGTGAATCTATGGTGGCTAGCTAGCAGCTAGCAGCTAGCAGCTCGCAGCTAGCCAGTAGCTAGCTAGCTAGATAGCTAGCTAGCTAGCTAGCTGGCTAGCTGGCTAGCTACTTGTGTGGAGAGAGAGATGCTGTCTCCTGCAGCAAATCCTCTTTACGTCTCCTTCAGGTGTACAGACAGAAGACTACAGCAGCGGGCAAGCACCTGCTTCTTTATTAGAAATTCGGAGGGCTAGCTAGCTGTAGCTAGCTGTAGCTAGCTGTAGCTAGCCGTCGCTAGCTATCTAGCTGTAGCTAGCTAGCTAGCTAGCAAGAGCTAGATTGATTGATAGATGAATAGATACAAGTTGATAGATAGATACGTAGATAGATAGATATAGCTAGCTAGCTAGCTAGCAAGCTAGACAACTCACAGGCAGGCGGATGGCCTACGCGCTGTTGCTGCAGGCGACACCGCTGCTGCTGCTGCTCCTGCTTCTGCTGCTTCCCCTTCTGTTGTTGCTGCTGTTCGTGTTGTTCCTGGTGCTGCTTCTGCTGCAGCGGTTGCTGCTTGTGTTGCTGCTGCAGCTGCTGCAGCGAGGTTTTTATTATATTTTTTTTATTGCTGGTCTCTGCCTCCTCTCGTCTTTGTTCGTCTCTGTTTATTTAATTGTTTGTCTCTGTCTGTTTTCTTTTGTTTGTTTTGTTTGTATTATTTTTTATTTGTTTTTATTATTATTATTATTTATTATTACTTTTATTTTCTTTTTTTTTGTTTGTCTTTGTCTGTCTTTGTTTGTTTTACTTGTTTGTTTTACTTCTTTTGTTTGTTTTATTTCTGTTTGCTTCCTCTTCTCTCTCTGTCTTTATATATATAATATATATATATATATATATTTGTATACATATATAGATACATATATATATATATAAATATATATATAAATATATATGTATATATATATGCTTCTATATATGTATATATTTGTTCTAAGTTTTATCTGTTTCTATTAGAGACGAAAGTAAATAATAATTATTTAAAATAAATATTTCCGCAATAATACTATACTTCTTTGTTTATAAATATAATATATAATAATTTTACATCAATTAATTTATTTATTTTCTTTGTTTTTCTCTTCGCTGCATTTTGTCTCTGAAAATAAAAATAAGCGGCGCACTCTGCTGCCTTCGTTTCTTTCTACAGCAGCAGCAGCAGCAGCAGCTGCTGCTGCTGCTGCTGCTGCCGCTGCTATTGCTGCAACAGCAGCA